TGATTATTGGAAAGTCCTCATGTACATGAAATAGAATTATACTAAGCATACATGGAAATGGTTAAGCATTGGGGTATAACCCAATGCAAAAGAAATAGGAAGAAGTTTCAACAGTGGCCAGTCTGTTTCCACATTATCTTTCTTTTCTTTCATATTGTCCCCAAAGGACCTACTTCTCTTCAGGGATTCTCGACTATACAGAGATATAGTTTTTGTGTAGTAGTCCTGGAATGACTGAACAGTTTACTCTTCACTAAAAAGGTCAGTGACAACATGTTTATGTCTTCGTCTTGCAATGTTGTATTAGTATGAGTTTAAAAAAAACAAAGCCCATTTGTACAAGCAGCTTTGTTTTGTATGTTTGAAAGATTCCATTTTTTCTTTTCATATTTATCTTTTTTTTTTTTTTTTTTTTTTTTTTTTTAAATCTCCACAGAAATACAGTTAGTAAGAACACAACCTAAAGGGGTCATTGGCTGCTTAGCTTCAATAACATTCAGCAGTAGCAAGCCTCCACTCATCATTTTCACACACACACACAAAAAAAAAAAAAAAAAAAAAAAGTCAAGAAGAAAATGCCTGATGGTGGATAAAGGAGAAAAAGATTAGTGACATTAACGATGGAGAGCGAATGTATTAAATATTAATGGATGACATTTATGCTCTCCTAATTAAGTAAGAGGTTTGCTTGGTCTAACAGCACTTATTCAGAAATACACTGGTTTACCACCGTGAATCATCTTAAGACACACAAGCAAGGTAAATGGCTCATCTTGATGCTGACAAAGCCTATCTTGTGAGGTTTTAGTATCCTAACTGGCAATACTCACAGAAAATGAAGCAGCTCTTTTGAACTCTGGATGAACTCTTTCTCTTTTTTCATAGGGGTACAGTTTGCCCGTCATCTGTTGTGAACACATCTAAGGATATATTTCTCATAGTTTGTTATAAAAAATTCTCCTATTATCATCAAAATTTGAAATACTTTACCTAACTTCTGCCACCATGTAGAATTTCTCCTTCACGTTTTTTAATGCCAAAATCTTGCCAGATGAGTTCAGTGAAGGACCAGGTATTTTTACCACATCTACATTTGGCTCATATCACATTACAGTAACGTTCCCTGAAGAAATAGCTGGTGGAAGACTCCAATCCTTTGTTCTGCTTTGTTGCTCTTCTACTTTTTGACATTAAATTACTCAGGCAAGATGTTTCATTTGAATATCTATGGTATAAATTACCAGTGTTGTTCTTCCCTAGCATTTGCTTGACAAATTAATTACCAATACAGTTTTGTGCAGCCTGTGCATTTGCAAGGCTGTGTAAGGTGGCAGCTGAGGGTTCAGCTTGTGTAAATTAATTATAGGTGCAATTGACCTTGTGTGAAAGTGGCTGTGGCACACATAAGATTAAGAACCATTGTGTTAGGCTGTCAGTGGGAAGCACCTGCTCTTTTTCATTCTGATTCAGTCAGTGTAATGAGTGGGATTGTTTCTAATGAGAGTCTGTGGTATCTCACTCTGGAAAGTGGGAGAGCAAGGGAGGGGGATTAATTTGGAAAGTGACTGTACCTCAGGTGCATCCATTACCTGATGCAGATGTGTCGAGGAGACTATGATCCAGCTTTGTTCCCAAAGGGTGCGGAGTAAATGGCGTTGTGGGGATGTTAAGAGTGGCTTAACTCATCTGCTGCGGAGGATAGCAGTGCTACATGGAGTTACGCTAATTTTCCACTCACAGGTAACATGCATTGTTTGGTGGTACGGTACCCATGAAGCCTTCTAAGCTCCCCTGACATACCTGTGATGTAGGAAGAAGGAGTCTTCTGATCAATGAAAATCAGGCAAGCAGAGGACAAAATGTAGCTAAACATTGGCCTCAGTTCAGAGACATCTGCTTAGCAACCCTCATGTGCCTCAAATTGTCCAGATACTTCTGTACTTTCCTGAATTATGACTATCATTTGCCTCCTTACTTCTCAAAAAGAGTTTGGAAATCATTACGTATATACTTTGCCTTCTGTTCTGTTTTTTTTTTTGGCTTGGGACAGGCAAAAGTTTTCAAGGATTTTTTTTTTTTTCTTGCAGATTTCATCATCTTCTGCTTATACCTCACCTGAAAGAATAATCTATGAGATCACTTGCTTGCTACAGGAAGGATTATTCACCTTTGGATAATTATGGTTTCAGGTAGGGAATAAAAACAGGATCAGACACTTCACAAAGAATAAGTAGCTTATAAAATTTCAGGTGTCCTTGGCAAAAACACATACCTAGTACTTAAAAAACAAATCAAAAAAAATCTGAGCGTAGCAATGCCTTCTAAGTGTTACCTGGGGCAGAATTACAAATACAACCATCAAAATGATAGCATGCATAAGCTTTTACAAGGAGACCTGAAACGCTGAACACTGCTGAGGCAAAGTGCCAGTGGCATGCTGAGGTGGGGTGATGCTTTATAGAAAACTTTGGAAAATTCTCTAGACAGGACTTGATTTCTACCTGCATCAGCGTAAATTGCAATACGTTTCCTGGAGACAACATCAAGGGTTCGTGCTGAGATGAGAAGTGAGAAATATCTTCATATACAAAGAGCCCAACACATTTTTATTTTTTTTTATTCTTCCTTACCAGACTGAAAATGCCTGAGGTCTCTTCTCACCTTGGGGAATTTTATTTTTAAAATCTTCCTTCTGGCTTCCATTTTCTGGTCAAATGAACATCATTACCCCAGTGTGACAAGGCTGAATGTGGTGGGACTCACATTGATATAGTTGCAGAGAACTGCCAGGGCTGAAAGTCACCTCTGGAGGATTTTCATCCAACCCTTTGCTCAAAACAGTTCCAATCCCACAACCTCTCACTGTGTCAGTGTTTGACCATTCCCACAGTAAAATAAATAAATAAATAAATAAATAATGATAAAAAAAGGAAATTTCCTCAATTCTAGTTTGTGGTCATTGATTCTCCGCCTACTTTTTAACTGAAGAGTCTCACTCTCTTTTCTACACTTCCCATCAGGTATCTCCAAGGCTTCTCAAGGTTAGACAAACCAAGCTCTCTCAGGCATCTGTCAGACATCACGTGTTTATCCTCATCTTTGATGTTTTAAATAGTGATACTGCTGCCCACTTTCTGCCAAGCCCTGAGGGCACTGCTAGTTCTAACTCTCACTGCCCAGCCACTCCAGCCCACCTGCCCATCCCTGCCATCCTGGAGGTGCTCAATGCCTTTTCTGCTCCTGGTTGGGGCAGTGGGATGGGCTCTGGCTGGTGAGATCCTGCCCTGATGGACCCCTCAGAAAGCCCCTGCTGCTCTAAGCCTCCCAAGGGAGCTGCTTCCCCTGCAAGGTCCTGATACATCTCATCTTCTGCTCATCATCATCTTCCAGGTTTCCATTAATTTCCTCCTCTTCCCAGTAATAGTTTCTCAGACTTTTCCCCATGGACCTGCATGTGCTAGGGACAAATCACAGCCACTGGTGGGATGTACTGATGTCCTTTGCTGCCATAAAGCAAAACCTTGTGTATAACACTGAGGCAGGGTGTGCTGTTGACCTGACTGAATGCTAAACCTCCTTTCCCTCTTTGCTGACCAGATTCAGTGCAGGGAGTGAATCAGTAGCTGCCTCCAGCTGAGGCAGTCCCTGTGCATGACTGATGATAACCTGAAGGGCCCAGACCCAGCTCACAGGCACTGCCCTTTCTGCCTCTCTCTTCCATCTTAATTTTCAACAGGGGAATTCATTGTTGCTGCTTTTTGATGTGGATGAGGGATATGCCAGAGGAGGAAACAAATGGATACTGTTACCTCATTTTATATAGATTATAACTAACTGATGCTAAAATGCTGTATGAACACCAGCAGTCTTTTCTTGCTTCAACGAGTGAGCCTAAAGGTAAGAATCTTCATATTATATTAGAGTCCTCCCTCACTGGAGAAAACAGAAATTTTCCTTTGACTGTTTCCATTCAACACTCATGAAAGCAGCTAGAATTTTGCTGTTGAATTAGATGGGTCCAGAATTAAATATTTATACTGCACAAAGCTGCTCTGAATGTGGTTGTTTCAGAGATTTCTGAAGAGCTACCAAAGGGCAGCTTGAACTGCTGTGGGACTGTACGAACTGAGTAATATTCAACAACAAATGAAGTCATCATGGTAATGAAAAACCAGATGAGAGGAAAAATGCACTCGTTCTCAGAAATTCAGCACAAAACTAAAGAAGAATTAAATTATTTGATGTATGTGAGCAGTGCACTGTGCCTAGCTCTTCCAGAGCTCTTTCATTTAATACCTCCTTCATATTAGTGCTTTAGAATTAGTTTGTATTCCACAGGGTCAATCATCAGCATTTCAAGTTCAGTAACAACAGTTTAACTCAGGAACACATTTATCATCCTTCAGCTCTGTAATTGTTTAGATACAAAAGTACAGGAAAAAAGGATGGCTTTTATTATTTTTTTTTTCACAAAACTTGATCGAGAGTAGTTTACACTGAGTCTTTAGAAGTCCATATGCATTTAGGCAGCATAATGCTGCTGAGGTGTACAAATACAAAAAAGTTTTCCCCACCAGGGGCAAATCATTGCATGTGTTTGTAACTGACTTTCCTGGTCACCTGATGATAGCTGCTAGATTGCTGATGTGTGTCAGTTCACCTGTAGCTAATGCCCTTGAAAAGCACTCTCAGAGAGAAGCCTTGTAGAGCTATATTGCTGTTTTACCTGCCTTTCTGTTACCTCCAAATGATATTTGGGAATGCATGAATATATGGAGGATTTTTTTTTTTACTGTGAGGTTGGTGAGGCACTGGCACAGGCTGCCTAGAGAAGCTGTGGAAGCCCCATCCCTCGAAGTGTTCAAGGCCAGGCTGGATGGGGCTTTGGGCATCCTGGTCCCGTGGGAGGTGCCCCTGCCTATGGCAGGGGGTTGGAATTAGATGATCTTTATGGTCCCTTCCAACCCAAACCTATGATCCTATGAAGCTTATCTTCTGCCCTGTAGATGATGGGTACAGCATGCCTAGGTCCTTAAGCAATGAGATATTGCCTGTTTTAGCCAGGGCGTTAGCAAGCATTAATTGCTCTGAACAGCCACACCTGGGGTCCCTATCCACATCCTCTGCCCTTGGGCCCTAGAGCCCCATTTCAGCTCAGCCCACCACCTTCAATTCTCATCCTGAGCTGTGTTGTAGATGCGTTTGTTTTTTTGCTGTGTCTTCTGGCTGGACCTTTGTCATCTGCTGTGGGTAGGTTGTCTCTTGACTGAGCACCTTAGTTGTATGTTGCAGCCTTGTCTCCTTTTGCTTCTGCCTGGAGCAAAAGTGCTTGGTGCTTGGACACCAGACCTCATTCATTGCTTGATGTATAGCTGGTTATTGAAGGACTCTGTGTCTGTCTGCTGTGTTTGTGTCCTGCGTGACTGTGCCTAGTTACCCAGAACACAGCCTTCATTGGGGTTGCCTTTGACATCTGGTTCCATTTTCGCACCCTTTGCTGCTCTCTGATGCTTCTGGGGAATTTATGATTAAAATTAGGCTAAATACTCCTTAGATTGCTTCTTGTACCTTGTTTGTAGCGTTGTGGGACTGGTTCCCCTGGTCATTTATTACTGTTCTGATTGGAGAGAATGCTCATAAACTAGAGTGGATCCATAGCTGATCCCACATGAATGTTATGCTGGTTCTTGTCCCACATGTGTTCATACATTGTTTTCAGACTCTTAACATTTGCAAAGAATTAAATCCAATACAAATTTTCATAGACAAAGAAGAATAATTGAAAATCAAATGAAAATTATATTGTGGTTTACATGCAGTGTAGCAAATAGATAAATGGCTTATTTTAATAATATGTATTATATTACTTGACTGAAATATTAATACGAGTATTCAGAAACAGTATTCTTAGCTCACATTTATTTAACACTAAATTCAGTCAGAATGCTGGGGTAGGTGTCTATCAGGTTTTACATGCTAAGCACATACGAATTCTGTGAAGTTTGGCGCTAATGGTGTTCATTTACTGTGTTGCTGATTATTCTTTTTTTCTTTTTTCTTTTCTTTTTTTCAAAGAAGCTAATGGTTTGTGTGATTTGGTGCTTTTTCCAGTTAGATGGGTTGTTAAATCATAATTTTCTCTTCCCAATATGTGGAAAGCCAAAAACTTTGGGAATTCCAGATTTAGTTTAGCAAGAACACAAAAACCTACTAGGCGTGCACTACTGATTTATAACAATTACTTTGAGTGAATTCTGATTAAACAAAATCCAAAAATCCCAGTAAAGCAAGGAACAAATGGTTCACAAGGCTGTGTGTGTGCAGAGAGGGTAGGTGACAATGGGTCAACCAAACACCCATCAGAAATTGAGTTAGTCTTCAAAATGAGCTTGGAAATAAATAAGGTAGGGGGTGTTACATTTCTTGCAGGCAAGTAAATCTTGTTTTTTATACAAGCTGGACATCAGGTTTGTTCAAGGGAAGAAATACTGCTGGATTCTTATATGAAAGGCAACATCAGAAATAAGTATGCCCTTAAAAATCAAAAAGCATTTTGTACCTGAAACAGAATGCGCCTTATTTGAATTTATAAACAAGAAATGAAAGGTACAAGGAAATAACTTTGAATATTTAGAAGAAAGTTGTTTTTTTTTTTTTTTCCTGTTGTCCTTCTTTGAGAGGTTGTCGTTTCTGTGTCCACATCTGAATCTGCAAATCATATATTTATGTACATGTACATACAGTAATATATGTATGTTACATAAATACTGTTACAGCAGTACTGTGAAATATTCATAGAATGTCCTGAACTGGAAGGGAGCTACAAGGGTCATCAAATCCAATACCTGAGTCTGTACAGGACCACCCAAAAATCAGATCACATGTCCGATAGCAGTGTCCAAATGCTTTTTGAACTCCCACAGGGTTGGTGCTGTGACCACTTCCCTGGGGAGAACGTCCAGCATCCAACCCTGTAAATGAAGAACTTTTTCCTAACATCCAGATTGAACCTCCCCTGTCACAGCTTCGTGCTGTTCCCTTGGGTTCTGTCACTGTCACCAGAGAGAAGGGATCGATGCCTGACCCTCTGCTTCCCCTTTTGAGTAAAACATAGATTGCCATGAGGCTTCCCTTCAATCTCCTCTTGTCTAGGCTGAACAAACCAAGCAATTTCAGCTGCTACGAATACATCTTGCGCTCTAGACCCTTTACCATCTTTGTAGCACTCCTTTGAATGCTCTTCAGTAGTTTTATAGTCCTTCTCATACTGTGGTGCCCAAAACTGCATTTAGTACCTCAAGGTGAGGCTGCACCAGTGCAGAGCAGAGTGGGACAATCACTTCCCTCTACTATGCTAGATATTCTTAGAGTTGGACTTAAGATCCTTATTCTCTATATTCTGTTGATGATAACTGGTCAACATGAGATGTCTTCATTGTTTTGTTGTAGGTCTTCTGTCCTATCTCCTCTGGGGATTTTTCCTTTTGGAGACACATGACAGTAAAGATTGATTACCCTAACCTGAGTCATTCAGTGTTTGATGTGTTTGGTATAGGGTTCATTTCTATCTACTCTTTCTCAGGTTTGTTTGGTGGAGTACGAGGATTCAAATACCCTTTTTATGATTGGTCTTCATTCTTTTAAGAGCATGCAGCGATGCACTTCTAGTTTAACATAAACTCTAGTCCTTCTCCATTTGAGGAAAGGAGGTGCTCAGGAAGTTGGCAAAGTGAGAAGAAGGGTACTTTATATCTTTTTCTGTCTTGCGGTGGTTTCACTAATCAATGAAATTTACTGAACTACTTTTGAGGGTTTTCAATCGAAGTTACCAAAATTCATTTAAAAAAAATCCGATTATATAACATGTAAGTTTATTTTTAAGCATGATAACCACTTGAAATCATGAAAAAACAAATTGTGTTTATTATACTTGAGTAAGCAATGCACTTTTGAGGAAAATCATTTATTTAAAGGAAAAAAAAAAAAGCTTGGCTAGATGAGATAAGCCGTTTCCTTAAAATAACTAGATGATGCCTTTCTCCAAGCACCCAGATGAAAAGCTTGGCTAAGGAGATTTTTGCCATTGTCTCTCAGTCATAAACGTGCTCTACCCCTATACCTGGCATAGGTGGCTTTCCACCATGGATGTTCTCTGCTTTTCTAATGCCCTTATATGCCTAGGAAGAGGTGAGCAAACCTGATTAAAACTGCAGTTTAAACAAGTTAGTAGTTCTATATAACTCTGTTTACAAATGAGGTTTGACTTTTATGAGGTCAGTTTCTTCATTCTTTTTTTTCCAATTAAAGTTTTTTGGTGATGAATATTTGGGATTGTAGTGCTTTCTCGGTAGTTTCTTCCCTAGAAGAAAATAAGTCCCTTCTTATATTCTTCATTTTACTGCTCTAACTGTGGCCTGTGTGTTGACCAGGCAATGGAGATCTTGATGGTTGTTAATGGCTATTTTAATTGTAGCCTCTTTAGAAAACTGAACCTCGTTCTTTTGGGAGAATCACGTGAGATTTTATGGTATTTTCCTGATAAGATCTGTGCTTCACAAAGAGCTACATGTAGAGTAACAGACCAAAATCTTTTGGCATATGTAAGCAATACCAAATCAGCTGCCTCTTATTTTAATTTTGTAAATGAGTTAATGAATAGACACTTTCAGAAACTTAATTTTCAGTAATTTGAACTGAATTTTTCAGAAACTTTAAACTGTTTAGGTAATTTAAATTTTCAGTGATTTTTAAACTTTTTTTTTCCTTTTTTTTTTTTTTTTATTAAATTGAGAAAGAACACTATTGAGCTTCAAGCAAGAGTAGGAGGGATCAATGAAACCCTGATGTCTTTATGGTAAAATAACTTATTTAAAATGTTAAATTATCTATCATCTTTATATGTTTTAATGCAGTATTTCTATGAATGTCTATGATAGTCCCAGTCCCATTTAACTATGCCTCTGACCCTGAAGCCCACCTGGGCTTCATGTTAACTACACAGTCAAAGGAAGGAATTTTACTGTGTTTCACACAGTTTTCTTTAATCATTTTTTTTTTTTTCTGAAAGCAGTATGGGGTACTGCCACTGGATATTTTTAGCAATGTGGCCAGTTGCCAGTAATGATAAGCTATCAGCAAAGAAAAGGCTGGGAGGTTTTAACATTTGGTAAGAGTCAGTACTGAGAGGATGTAATAACATTGGTGTGTCAGGACGCAGATAGGGAGTTGTAGCCAGGACCAAATCTTTCTGTTCTCTACTGCTGTCTGAGACATCTTAATTCCCCCCTTGCTTTCTGTGTGATTAATTAACTATACAATCCACGGTCAACTGGAAGAAGTCTGTGCAGTGACTAGAACAACTCGTCCTCATTAACTCCCATTGAATTGCTGACAATTCTTTCTGAAGCAATTTTGTAAATAAATTTTTAGGTTTAATCCTTGAAGTTGTCAAACTTGGGTGGCCAGGAGCAGGTATTAAGAGCTGGTGGCTGCATCAACATGCCTGACACTGTACTGAAGCTACAAAGCTCCTCAGCAGTAACCCACAGGGTGTCTGCATGAATCCTGAATTTGGGTAACAACCTCCAGTGAGGCTGCATTTGAGGGAAGCAATGTAGGAGAAACCCTCCTGCAGGTGTTTTCTGCACTAACACAGTTGATATAAGAAGCCCCAACTCCATCTTTGTCTTGGGAGTTTCTCTGAGCTCTAAAAGTTTGACCTAAGTGGAAACCAATACTGCTGTTAGCATACTGCACAGGAGGCCACTTGTTTCCACAAATAATTAGTTTCTCAGCTGATATCTTCAATTACATTTTGTTTTGTAGGATTTGTAACTTAGTATTTCAAAAAGGTAGTTAGAGAGCTTGTTCTTTTCCGAATTAAGTTGTCTGTACCTGATCTTGTTTCTCTTATTAAATTCTATTTAGCAATTTTGAAATTGCTGTTGCTGGGAATGCAATGAATGTAAGTACTTTGAGACTTTCCTTTTGAGATGTTTTCATATTTTGGACAGAGCACGTAGTTGCTAACATACAAATGTGGGAGAATGCTGTGATTTTGTCAGTGCATACTTCTAGCTCACCATTTTCACTTTCACCTTCGGGTTCACTTTTGTCGCGTTAGCCAACCTGTCAAGATAGTTTTGTGTGATGATAAAGTAGTATGTTAAAGGAATTGTCAGCTCATCCCCTGGACATAATAAAACAATATTTTACCACGAAAATTCAAACAGTGAGGGGTTCAAAAGGAG